CATTCCTTTAGGAAAGTATCTCCCAGCAGAGCTGAAACTACTTGCTGCATGTAATTCTCTCCATCTGGACAGACTGAGTCTGTAGAGCAGAAGCATGAGTCACTGTAAAGCAGTTCAGAATGTCAAGTATTTTCTAGATTCACAGATTTTAAGTGTCTGCAGTGCCATTACCAATTACTGGGAGCATTTCAGGGTATGGGAGAAACCAGGAGGATTTTAAGCAGTAATCCTGGGTCCTGTTAAGAGCTTTTCTGCCCCTTGAGTAACTATGTGACAGGCAAGAAATATGGGAAGAACAAGACAGAAATATTTCTCCACCACCAAAATTAGAGGCCTGCTAAATCAGGGCTCCAGAAATAAATGGAAAGCAATCCAAACAGCAGGCAAAACTCTCCAGGATCAATAAAGCTGTTTGAAATGAAAATGCACTGAGGCCTCTGGTGTTAGTCTATCACCAGAATTATTGAAAGAAAGAGCTCCCACTGAAGTGGATATTGGACAATTATAACATCACAGTTTCACCACCACCCAGCAAGGGACAGGCTGCAGGGTTGAACTGGGCAGCTGCTCATCACAGGGAAATAAAACTGAAAAGAAAACTGTATCTTCCAAAAGATGGTGCTCCTAAGGAAATTACACGGGCTAGAGATGGCAATTTTGTAACATTATTGGGAATGCATATTCCAGTTTGGGATTCACTCAGTCTACCAGCACAGGAGGTTGCAGCTATCCCAGTCCCTGTTTGAAACAAGTGTTTGCATAAAAAAGAGTGGCCCCTGCCAGGACCCCTCAGTGCTGTTCACTGTGTTGTTACCTGAGCACTCCTTAGGAACTCGACACACAAATAAAATCTAATTTTTTAAAATTACCTTTTTAACTGCACTTGACTGTGCCCTATCCTGTTTTCCCTGCAGCTTTCCACAAGTTTATGGAGGTTTGTTGAGCATGACCCAAACACTTTTAACAATCCTGAGGCATTTTCCCACCTGGTTCCTGCTTTCTCCTGTCCCACAGGGCACCATTAGAAGAAGCTGGTGGACAGCACCCATGCTGGATAAGTTTAGCATTTTATATGTGCCAAATGTCTTCTCTCCACCATTGTTTTCTTTCCCAACATATCTTAAGAGAGCTCTTTACTGTTAAAGTTAAAAGAAAATTAGCTTTAGGAGTATAAATTAAAAATCCTACCATTGTATTTCAGGACAATACAACTGAAAGCAGAGTCAAAACCCCCCACATTTCAAAGATTCTGTTTAGAGCTCCCTAATTAAATAGTGATAAAGGATACAGAGAGATTGAAATGCTACTTCATTTTCTTCTGTTTCAACTCTTCCTGTTTTCTGAAGGTTGTTAATGTGACACCAATGTAAAAAAAAAAAAAAAAAAAAAAAAAGAAAACCCCAACTTCCTACTTCTAATCTGTTTCAAGTCTTTGTCCTCGTTTCTCTCTGCTTGCATCAAGTATTGACAGAAATGAGAATTTTTTATTGAAATGCCTGGATCAATCAAAGGTACGTGAACTAGAATTATTTCCAGACTAAAGACTTAATTATTTCCAGACTTCCACTTCTGCTCCCTGGTATTTAAGGTAGGAAGCACTCAAAGCTTTAAAAAAAGGTAAAGACTCCTGGTATAATTGAGTATACTGTGTATGTTCAGAATGTTGAAAACCTGCTTCTGTGGGGTTACAAAAATAAAGGAACTCTGTCTTGTCTCCAGGTTGTACCTGCAGACCAGGGTGGGGACTGAGCAACTGAGCTCTGAGTCTGCTTAGAGACTGATGCTCTGCTCAGTGCTGTGTCAAAAAATGATATGAAAGTGCAGAAAAGAAGTATTTACATCTTTAGCTATTGATTTGGTTAATAATGATGGGCAGTTGACAGAGCATTGCATGTGCCATGCAGAAGACAAAAGTCTTGTGATTGTGTAGTCCAAAATTATTACAACAGTGCTGACAAATTGAAACAAGTTTTCTAAAATGTTTGGAATTCAGGAAATAGTCTATAAAAATAGAATTTACTGGATTTAAAATGAGGTTTTTTTATCAACCTCTTGTATTAAACTACTTTATAGTTATAAACTGACTAAGACAAATTCTGCTACAATGATTTTTTAAATCTGAAACTGCTCCACTTTTCAGTGTTTCACAGACCATCCTGTGGTGTTTATCTGAAGTTAGAATTTCAAATCAGGAACAAAATAATTGTATTTAATGGAATTTTAGTGACCGGTTCTGATAGCTTAAGAAATCAATTTAGAAAATTCTGAGCTGACCAAATCCTGCATTTAGTTTTGTCTATTGGAAAGTTTTCCTTATCTAATTAGGATCAAGTTCTTATGCTGGTAGTTCAATGCCACAAGTTACAAACAGCTGAGAACACGGGGTGGATGCTCAGTAACAGAGCCCGGGGCAAAACCAACAGAGGAAGTTCTACGTTAGGAAAGGACTACCCTGAATCAGCCTTGGGGCAGAATTACTTTGAGATAAGCTATTTTTGTCAACGTACAAAGAAATACAGTGGCCTTTTTGGAATATAAATTACAGATGTGAAAAGTCTGATGGTATTTGCCCCAGTAGAATACAAGTCAGGGCAGTTTCACTCAGGAAGAAAGTACTTTTTCTTGCTGTAAAAAGCAGCAAACTACCACACCTGGTAGAGATGTGTTACTACATTCTTAAAAGTACATTAAGTATCACCTTTACCTTACTTGTTGAGCTTTATTTAAAACTTTACTTTAAATTTTCTGTCACCACGTAGGTATTTTCTTTGTAGAGCATAACAGAACACCAAAATGAGTCTCAGGCTGTGTTGTTGGCCCCAGAAACTTAACAGCATTAAGTGAAATTACAGAGCATCTGGTACTTGGGAACCACAGGATTCCTATGAAAAACATCTGTCTGTGGTGGCCTTGAAGAGCCCATCAGCTCTGCATGGCCAGGAGGAAAGCAGAGAGAGAAACAGTTTGTGCCCCTGGAGCAGGCTGGTGGGGGAAATGTAAAATATGTGGAAGTGTATTTCCACACTTCTCTCTGGGGGAGGGAGGGGAGCAAAGGCATAGTGCCTTGTTCTGTCTCATGTGGTACTCGTTAGATGTTCTTCCTACTGGGTATTTAGGCTTTACTTTTCTTCTTGCTGTCTGTTCTCTGCAGCATATTTTTTCCCCTAAACTTTTTTTTTTTTAATATTTTGGAAAAACTACTGCATACTTAGTTTGTGTCATCGTCTCATCCCTAGTTGTATGCTGTGTTTAAATTGAAAAGTGACTGTATAACTTAAGAACCATCTTAAATGGACTTGAAATGTTGATAACATCACTTTGGAAATTAGAGAATTCCACTTTTATTCTGTAGGGGTAACCACACTGCACAATATGGATAATAACTTATTCTTTAACAAGCCATATTCTTTGACCATTCTTTCATCATTACAGTCACTACTATAATAAAAAGCCACTTAAGTGATTATTCCACATAGAAATGTCAGAAGTGCATAAGAAAAGTCCATGCTTGATAACTGAGCTTAATTTATAACATTCATGTGGAAGAAAAAAAAAGCAAAATCTAACATCTTGCTGTGCACAGATCAGTTCATTTTACATGTTATTGTCTTGGATGGAATCAGTAAAAATTTCAAACCACATTTTGAAGCAATTTTTTCACTGTTTCCCAGTAATGATAACCTAGTAAAATGAGCCAAGGCAGTTACAGAAGCACCACTAGAGATTATGAAGTAAAGTAACAAATTGCAGATTTCAGATTGAGCCACTGATTATGTTATTCCAAATGGGTTTTTAATGGCTGTTTGCACAAGAACAACGCATTATTCATAGCAGCCAGTGCATCCAGTGAGCATATCTGAGCAAGAATCAAATAAACATTCACAGATCACCTGATTTTCACCCAAACTGTAATTACAAGGGGTTATGCCTCTAACTCTTCGAAAGAAAATTTTCACCTTGCTCATTTTGATAGTTTCCCCCTTTGTTTCTAAGAAAGAAATAAACATACTACAAATTTTTGCTGAAATAAAAAGTAGTCTGGGCCAGCACCAACCCTGCATATATCAGGATAGATTTCAAGAGAATAGGTTCACTTTTTAAAAAAGAAGATGTTTTCGTTTTTCATTGAAAATATCAAAAACAAGCAGTACATCATAGTATCTCCATTAATTATAGCAAATTAATTTAGTCTACACAAAAGCCAGCTTTAATTTCTCACACTATTTTGCTATGATATAATATTTTCTACTTTGCAGATATGAATTCAAATCTGACTTGTAAAACAGGACATGAGTTTCATTTTGGTCACACATTTTCATTTCACACCACTTCTTGCGTTGTGTTTGGCCTTAGCTCCCTTAAATTGGGGAAGCACAGACAATATGCAGGCATGTTCAATGTCCTGTGTTTGGAATTGGTTGCCCAAAAAAACTATGCAGTTTTTATCCCCAGAGGTTTTCAAAAGCAGACTGGTAACACCCTGACAGCCTCATCTGACCTCGGTGCTGACTGTGGTGTGAGAAGCTGTTTGGACTAGAGAAGTCCTGAGGTCCTCAACTGCTTTGTGTTTCTGTATTAAAAATTGTTAATGTTAACGAAATTTAAAAACATGATATAAATATGTAATGGAAATATGGTTCCAGAAAACTAAAATTGTATTATTTCTGGTGTGCTTAGAGCCTCCATTTGCAAATCTGAAGCTCAGATTTGTTTCCAGTGCTTTGGGTACTTGGTGTAGGTTGTTGGAGTGGTTTTAAGTGCAGTGTTGAATGTCCTTTACACTGTACTGAACTAACTCCTAGAGGAAAAATGAAAGAGGAACCAATTTAATTGGGAAAGGAAGTGATGATTGTCTCTATAATGCCTGCATGTGTGATATTCTCAGTTGCTCATTTTCCCAGCCCAGGGTGGGAACATGTGTGTTATTTCTGCCTCAGACTGGTGCCTGTTCTGTGTTCCCTCCCGGCAGGTCCGTGAGCTCATGGCAGCCGGGCCCTGGCATGGAGGCCCGGAGCCCGCCAGGCCTCGCGGCCGCTCCGGCAGACCCCGGCCCGGGCCCTGCCCCGCGGGGCTCCTCGGAGCCTGCCCGGGGACAGGCCCTGCCCCAGCCCGTGTACCTCAAGGCCCTGACGATTCCACTGCTCCAGCCCGTCCAGCCAGGCTCCTTCCAGCCCCACGGGCCCTTGGTGGCCAGCAGGAACTGCGTCCACCTCGACGGCAGCAGCATCCCCCTCATCCTCAAGCCGCTCGTTCCTCCGGAAGGCACGGAGCAGCCTCAGCCGCTTTTCCAGAAACAGCTTGGGCAAAGTCTGACCTTGAGCATAGTCAGCACTTTACCAGTTTTGTCGTCGCCAAGTTCTTGTGTAAAATCAGCTATTGGAAGCCCGGGAAAATCAAAAAAATCTGGGAAATACATCTGCAAACACTGTGGAAGAGATTGTTTAAAGCCAAGTGTCCTTGAGAAACACATTCGCTCTCACACGGGAGAGAGGCCCTTTCCGTGCACCACTTGTGGCATTGCGTTTAAAACTCAGAGCAACTTGTATAAACACAGGAGAACTCAAACACACGTCAACAACACCAGGCTGCCCTCAGACTCTGACATCACTGGGGGACCAGAGCAAAATGAGAGATCAGCAGAGAGCACCACCTCTCCCCAAGGCAGCAAAGTCTTGAGTAGCAGTAGTGAAGACCAGGGGATACAAATCAAACAGCCCAGTTCAGAGACCAGTGCAGCAACAGACACTAAGAGACCTCACGAGCTCTCACTGCCAGCAACAAGCTCCTCATCAGCTACTTCAGAAAATCAAGAAGCAACAAATCAATCGTTGAGTTCAAAGGCTAATCAGGGGGTTCCTGAAAGAGAGCCTCAAAGTTTATCATCTCCAGGAACTTTGCCAAATGGTCCGTGTCTGAGAAAGAAGATGCAGGAGCAAAGAACTCCGACTGCCAATAAGCACATTCAGCTGCAAAGGCAGCAGGCAACATCTTCAGAGAAGCAGTGGGATTACAAACCCTTGGACTGCAAGCTGAAGAAGTGTGAGAGCACTGACTCGGGCTATCTGTCGCGTTCCGACAGCACAGAGCAGCAGATGTCATCGTCCAGCCCCTTGCACAGTCTCCACGAGCACAGCACGGAACTGGAAAGTGAAACTGCCTTCAGCAGCCCAAGGTGTGCCTCCAGAAGCACTGCAAAACCAGAGGCAGCTGAAAAAGCTACAGCCTCGATGCTAGAGAAAAAGAGGCTGGAAGAACACATCTCAAAGCTTATTTCTCACAACAAAAGTGTGGTGGATGACACCCAGTTAGACAATGTCAGGCCCAGAAAAACTGTCCTTTCTAAACAGGGAAGCATTGACCTTCCAATGCCTTACACATATAAAGACTCTTTCCATTTTGATATCAGAACTTGTGATGTAAATAGGAAAAAGAATCTTTCTCTTTGTTCAGCAAAATCTACCTTTGCACCCCTGGAGAAATGCAAGCCAATGTTTTTCCATTCAGTTCCCACCCAGTTCTCCACAACAATCGACACTGTGCCTGTTACTCGGAGCAACTCCTTGCCTGTTGTGGAGGGAGCGAGGATGGTGCATGACAAAGCAGGATGCTCAAAACCACTTTCTCTTACTAAGCACTCTGTAAACACAGGCACTGCTGGTTTGCTGCCTAGCAACGATCTCACTGCCAGTTCAGTGGATTTCCCGAATAGCCATCCCCGAGCTCTAGTCAGACAAACAGCAGTGGATGATTTGCCCCTAAGTCATGTGGCTGATCATCCTTCTCTGTCAGAGGAGCTGAAAGGGACTAAAAAGCTTGGGGCCGGAGAAGTAATCAGTGCTAAAAATAAGAAACACAATCAAAGGAAGCTGAAGATGTTCTCTCAAGAAAAATGGCAAATGTATGGAGATGAAACGTTTAAGAAAATCTACCAAAAAATGAAAAGCAGTCAAAATGCCAAGAAAATGAAACAAAGAGAGAATAAGATTACAGATATTACAAGCTTGAATCCTAATTCAAGGGAATCAGCCAGCAGCACTGAAATAACTGAGGAAAGAGATGTCAGGAGCTCTGCAACTGACAGTCCTTCCTCCCTTGCGACAGCAGCTTCAACCATGGGTAAATCGGGAGTGTCTGCTGATGGTAATTGTGTTCTGCAGAATGTGTCCTCTGAGGAAACTGCAGACAGAGTGTCCAACCTAATGGAGACATCACATTCTGTAACTGCAGGAGCTGCAACCAGCCAAACTTCCCCAGAGCTCAGTGGCAGTGACACAGAGAAATGCACAGCTGGCAGCAGCACACTGCTGGCTCCAAGCACTGGTGAGCTCAGGCTTCAAAATCCTGAGTGTCAGCTGAGCAGCCATGGGAGGAATGAGGAGTGCTTGCCAGTACAGAGTAGAAACTGGGAGAAACCAGGCCCTGGGAAAGAATCCAGTGCATTTGAGTTAGATTGTAAAAGCACTTCACACAATTATGGGAACCATCACAGGACTAAGGAAAGTGGCCAGCATGGGCTGATGCCCCCTTGGGTCCCTTGCAACAACAGAGAAACTGCAGGGAAATCCCAGACTCTGCCATCAGAAAGGAAAAAGCTGAAATTTGAAGTAGAAAAGACACAAAATGTGATTTCAGTGCCCTGCCCTAGTCCCAGTAGTGAAACCACTGCAGCAAGTGAAGCAGAGAGAGGCCATTGCTCTGGCACTCAGTGTCTTCCCACAGCTCCCGAGAAATTCTCCACTAAAGCAGAGGAGCAAAAATCAAGCACAGGAATTAATGAAGCCACTGGAGGTACTGAGAATGTGGAATATAAGAAAACAATCAAACTTACCACACAAGCGCTCAATTACTGTGACATCAACCTTCTTTCACATCCTGCAGGTATCCCAAAAGCTTCACTGGTGGGATTTTTAGGGTCTGAATTAAGGGGAAGTGATTCCAACTCTTTTGCTTTGCACAATGCAAGAGATGGAGATGACAAAACATGTCTTGTAAAAACAGGAGCAAAAGTGCCACTTCCCAGTGACAATGCCGTGGATGTGTCTTCTAAAAGCCATCATCTGCAATCTGATCCTTTAAGTCCAGTCCCACAACAAAATGCCTTCTCTCCAAAATATATCCTTAAATTGCCCCAGGACAAGACAGCTTCAAATCTGTCACCTTTGCTTCAATCTGAACAGGAGATGACACCTGGCACACCTGTGACAGACTCCTTAACCACCCCACCCTGTTCTTCCAGCAGCATGTCCCTCCATTCTCATTCCAGTGATGTGGTTTGGTCCCCTTTAAAATCTGAAGTGAGACAAAAGACTGGCAAAGGAGAAATTCAATGGAATCTTCACACAAACTGGAAAACTCCAGGATTCTGTTCACCAGTCAGCTCAGAAACCACAAATATGTCAACCACAGCAGAGAACACCTTTCATAACCAAAACTTCAAGCAGCAGGATATTGCAAGAGAGGATTGGAAAAACAAACAGAACAAAAATAAATTAAATTATCAAAGGCAAACAGAAGAGAAGTGGATGAGTAAAAGTACTTGCTCTATGCAGACTCCAAAGACAAAAATCTGCTTTACTTCTGTGTATACAAGTGGCTTTTTCATATCTGCTGACATCAAAGATGAGAGGAAGGCTTTACCCCACCTTTGCTCAGGAAGTGACTCTTTGATAAAGACATCAGTTTCTAGCAAAGGTGCAGATCCAACAATCCTGGGATGGGACAGAGAGGGAAGTCCACGCATCCTGAAGGACACCCCAGCACCACTGCAGGATCTGCAGCATTCCCAGAGCTCAAGAGACAACCCCACTTATTTTTGCCATTCTTTTGGCACTTTCTACTGCCACACTCTCAGCACTCACTGTAAAGGATTCCCAGTGCTGCCCCACTCTAACAGGACCAGCTACTCTGGCACTTCTGCAGTGCCAGGCTCCAAGAGCACCTTCCCATCGCTGAGTGCCGAGCCCCGGCTGACCTGGTGCTGTCTGAGCAGGAGCCTCCCTCTGCCCTCGGAGCAGGGTGGCTCTGCAGCCTCTGCCCACCCCTCCATGCCCCCCTGGCACAGGGAACCCAGCAGGGAATGCACCCTGTCCAAATACGACATCTCCATTTTCAAAATGAGAAATATTGGCAAGACTGTGGCATATGGCTTAACAAACACGAGCTTGAAAACGTTGGTTTCATCCTTTTCTAAAGGACACCAGATGCAGGAGGTAATATTAATAATTCTGCTTGCTTTGTCAAGAGGGTGTTATTGGCTGACAGCCCACCTCCACCCTCTTGTTAGGAAAATTAAATAATTATCAGAAGTGTATTTATGGACACTTGTAAGCATTTGCTGATACAGAATTTACAATTTATATTTTTATAAGAGAAGTCTATATTTGATAAGTCTATCTATAAGTCTATATTTGATGCATCAGAAAGATATATTTCTGTGTGAATATTTAAGTTTCTTTCAATTTTCAGAGTGCTGATAGTGAGAAGAATGAATTTCTATTTCTTGTTTTTTTCCCCTTTATGGGGATTTTTTAATATTTTTCTCTAATAGCATCTGTTTTCATTCTAAATGAGTATTTGACTTAGTGTAGGACTCAAACACAGAGTTGTGCTACTGTTCAGTGCTATTTAAAAAGTGCACAGATTTCCAGCTTCTCAGTCAATGTAATTCACAGTTTTCATGTACTTGATTTTTCCCAATATTCTCAACAGTTAAGCTCAGATGTTCCTGGTGGTTCTTTCAAAAATATTTCAGAGCAAAAGAAGAAAACAGTAGTTTGCAAAAAGGAAAAACTCTCAACAAATAAACTCAAGAGGAGCCACAAACAGAAAAGGATTAAAGTCACCCCTAAATGGTAAGGAGTACGGCTTTCAGGTTCACTATATATACACATATAACATAACATAATATAATATAATATAATATAATATAATATAATATAATATAATAATATATAGATAAAATTTTGTTGTAATGTGTGTAAAAACTCCAAAGAAAATAAAAAGTCATGCTCAAAATTCAGCCTTATCAAAACTGGGGGGAAAAAAGATAAATTTCTCAGAAAGAGCTGTTCTTGTACCAGAGCAGGGCCCCAAAGATAAACTATAAAAATATCAATATGTTGTTTACTATTAGGAACAGACTTTTCTAAGCAAACCAGACATATCCCACAGAAAGATGATGCCTGGTCAGTTGACTCTTTCTATGATTTAGAAATTACTCTTATCTGTCAAAATTGTCAGCATTTACTTGTGTTTGAAGGGGGCCACAATGGTTCTGTTTTTAATCCTGTCCCAGCTCAGAGCAGTGCGTGAGACCCTTTGTCCTTGGAAGATCCATATCCTGAGCTGGTATTCACCAGAGAAGGCAGCACAATAAATATCAAGTTTAACACCAACTAACAGAACCATCTGTAGTTCAAAGGATCATTTGGTTTAAATAAAAAAGCAGGAAGAATTCGAGCATGAAACTATCAAGGGCACATTGTCTCAATCAGCACAATGGGAATTCATATCAGTGGAACATTTACCCTCGAATCTTTCAGGAGTGTGGGGCAGCAGGATGCCTGATGAATTGCTTCAGTAAGGAAAACATATTGTGTGCACACATCCCTCTTTATTTCATGACCAAAATCAGACAGAGTGACTCCCTTGAGGACAAATCAGTGTCAGTAACTTAATCACCGTGTCCAGCTCAGCAAACAGCACTGCGATTTTGTAGGGTCATAAGAACAGAAATAGAAGACTCAGGTCTATGTCACCCAGCTGAGTGACAGTCTTCTGGGACTTTTTTCTGGTTTGATTTTCAGGTGCTGTTTTGTTGTTGTGTTTTTTTTTTTCCCTGCTAGTCTCAGAATTGTATATCAAATTTATTTGTATCAAATAAGCGCAGGGATTTAATTAAGTACGGTGTCCTGAAAGCTCAGGTCATGCCTATTAGTAGGTAACTGGCCCAACTGGTAACCACCAAATGTAATTTAATTTTCTAATACACCAAACACCTGAATAAGTGCATCCTTTAAAATTTACATCTTGCTCTGTGGATAGTGACAGTCTATTGATTTAGGGATGGGACTTTAGTGTCACTCATTCAGAGTAGAAAGTAAAGCAGAGTTGGATTATTTAGTGTGGGTTTGCTAAATAACCAAAATCCTTATGTTGTCCCTTAGTGATAATGAGCAGGTAGCACTCAAGAAGTGAAAACCCAACAACCACACAGCCTCAGGTGATTCCTGTGTGGTTCAAGTCTTTGTGAAGTATATTGTTTTAAAATTCCAGATATAAGAAAAATGATCTGTTATTCCTTAATCCTTTTCTCTTAGAAAATCAAGGATTTACTGAATCCTACAGAGAAAAAAAGATAATAAAATAATTGTGGGTCTCTTGCCTAAAATCCAGCTTTTGTTTTTGAGTTGACATAAACAAGCATCTCCTTCCCAGTAATAAATTGCTGTTAGACTTTATTGCACCTGATGAGGTGGTGTTATTCTCCTCTGGCTGCTCCTACATCTCCCGTATTTGTTTATCTCCTCAATGCCCCTGGCACTGCAGGTACAGAGGGAGGCACATCCATGGATTTGCTCAGCTGAAAATGAACCGGCTGAGCAAGAAGCCCTGTTTTCCCAACAGAGCTCTGGATGCTGTGAGAAAGGGCTGCTCATCCCAACCCCCCAGATTTAATAAGCATAAGAAGTGCCATCCTCCTCAGTCCAAGATGCAAGGTAAGTATTTGGAATATTTGTGTGAAAATATTATTTCAGTGATGTAATGAGAAATGTAACAAGTTCAAGCATGAGTGGTGATAAAAATCAAAGTTTATCCAACCTCTTTTCTATAGAAAATTATCTACACCAGCAAAAAGACACATCATATTCCACTTCAGACAAACAACTTTGCAGAAGGAAAAAAGAAGGAAAGAATAACTCAGGAATATCTTCCCATACTGAAAACCTAAACCATGTTAAACAAAAAGACAAAAGGGATAAAAAAGTAAGTATTGTACCTTAATTCTTGTATTATTTTTTATTAACAGAAAAAAGAAGTGTTAATTAAAACCTGAATTATATTTAGCTGTTTTAAAGTTGAAGTTGAAACTATTTTGTAGCACAGATTTTGGTTAAAAGGTTTTAAAATGTGTTAAAGGTATTTTGGGGGGTTAAAATAAAATGAAAATTTACCAATGTTAGAATTAGCTAAAATAACAATTAAACTTGAATCCTTTGGATGAAATTGCTCTGGACTGAAAACTTTATGTGTAAATCTTTTCCCCTCCTAATTCCTACAGGACATTTCTGGGCAAATCAGGGAACACCCAAGAACAAACGCCTCTGTCCAGAACATTACAGCTCCTCTGGGAATAGCTGTGACAGCTCATTCCTTTTCCTCCAGAGCTGACACATCCCTGCAGGAGTTCAGCAGGGACGTGGCCATTTGCTGCTGGGTGACACAGCCCCTCGTGCTGCAGCCATCCCTGCCTGGGCAATCCCGGCCAAGCCTTCGGAGCGACCCCCTGGCAGCTTCCTTTGGGTCTTGTCCTGAATTTACAAACACAGGCACAGGTGACCCACCTGACAGCACAAACCCAGAGGCTGCTGCTCCTCTTTCCTTACATCCAGGAGGAAGCCAGGAAAATGTATTGAGGGTAGTGTCAGAGAGCCAAATATTTGGAATATCAGAGCCGGTGATCCAGGCTGCTGGAAGGGAGAAAGCTCCGAGTGAAGAAAACACACATTCACCTCCCCCAGAAAACTCAGCTCCCAGTTCCCAGCCAGGATGTTCACGTTTGTTTGGATCCCAAGCAGAGTCTGTTCCTGAGACAGTCACGAGGGCTCAGTTACCCAGCAGGGAACACTCACAGAGGGCAAACTTAGCTCAGCATCTCCTGGAGCTGCACGACAAGAACAGATCCTGCCTGCAGCCTAATCCCTATGGAAGGCCACATGGAACTGCTACTGCTACCTTAAAAAAGCCCCTAGTGACTCTCAGATCCCCTGAGTTCAAGAGTTACTCTGCAACACCCCCCAAGACATACAAAAAGAGAGGTTTGGAGATGATGAGGAAACAAACAAGGGTGGAATATGATGACACGAGCAGTGATGATGAGGACAGGCTGGTTATAGAAATATAGCAACAGGCTGCTGCCAGGGCTTGTGTGCCAGCCTGGAAATGCCAGGGATCTTTGTTCCATAGCTCTGAAACACCTTCACATCAGCAAAGCCATTCCTCTGTGCCAGAGGCTACACCCTCTTTGGAAGAGCCCTTCCTTTCAAGGACTCAACCTTTTTTTAAAAATGCTCATTTGAGGCTGGCATCATGCAAGAGGCAGCCCTGTGCTCCTGACAGGTTTCCAGCATTGTTCACGTTCCTGCCAGTCTCAGAATTCCCACAAGTGCTGCCTGCCCGTGGGTGTGTTACTCCAAGCCTGCAGTGGGTTGGGTTACTTCAACAATACAGCTGCAGCAGCTTCCTCAGCTCAGATTTCCTGGAAGGGTTCAGATGGGTTCCCTTCTCTGTATTCCTGTTTTTGGAGTCACTGCCTCTGTACTGGGAGTGACACGCTGGCATTAAGGGGAAGATGTGTTCCCTAAGTATCTGTGATATTGAAAGAATCTGGAAAAAATGCTGGTCTTTTTCCATGTTGCACAAATGTCAATGCTTCTGTGTGAGAAATGACACAAGCATGCTTTGCTTTGTGTTTTGTGCCTTTTATGCCAAGATCTACTCAAATATTCTTGATTTTTAGGTGGATAATATGGGTGTTAGCTATTGGTATTTCCTTGTGTTAAAATTTTTGACAAGAATTTTCTCATTATATCTGTCACATTGTGTTCCAACTGATGTCTGGAATGTTTCATTCTTATTGTAATTTTAACTGCAATGATGCCATTTTATGGAGGGTAAAGAAGCTATATGGCATAGCTTGTTTTCTTTTTTTAACAAGTTTTGTGCTAAAAACCTTAAAATTTACTGGTTTCTATGTGAATAAATAATTAGATATTTCAATTTCACCAAGTGTGTTCACTTGCTTGATTAAACTGATAAACACTAGAAACATTCCACTTCTACATTATGGTAAAATTCTGTACTTAACCTGTTCTTGTATTCTGATTCACACATAGGGATTAATGGATTAACCTCCATGGGATATTTGGAGTTGCTTTTTAGTCATGCTCAGATAAAAGATTGAACAGATCATACAAAGAAATTTAGTACAAATTATCTGAAAAAAATATAAGTGTATGTGTAAAAAATATCCAGACAGCTCAGAGAGATAAACCACATGCCAAGTCCTGTGCAATTTCTGTGTGTTTGGATGCCCTACAAATGTGACAAGGCTTGAGGTTGTCAAAACAGAGCTTCACATTTATCCTTTACCTTGCTCAGTATTTGTGCTCACAGACAAACTGGTATTGGGTGACTCCCAGGGGCAATGAATTTAAATAAAGTGAATTCAAAGAAGTACACAAATAGAATTTGGGAAGAAAAAGAGGAAAAGAAAGGGAGGAACCATCAACACTCACACAATATTGAGCCATTCAAAGTTATGGAATTTTTTTTCTGATGGAATCACTCAAAGCTACAGCTGGATTCTGAATTTGTAGGAACAGCAGGAGAAGAAGAAACACAAAGCTTATAGAGATCCTCAGATCAGTGTTCCTAGCAATGCTGTTGGCCAAGCACCTTTATAAACACAGGGCAAAATCACTGCACCAAACCCCACCAGCACCTCCACAGCAACAATTTTCACCTCTTGCTTGTGCAAGAGCTAATTATTATAATACATGGACATGTAAGGAATATTCTATATAAGGTTTTTTGGCATAATGTTTGTGGCTAAATGATGTATTTTAAAGTGGAATTTCTAGATCAGTAATTCATAAATAGTCTAATGACAGACTCAGAAGTGCTGTGCAAAGAAACTTTTATCCTGCATGGATTTTACAGCATGAAATACAGAAATTTCTTTGTCATTCTGCAGCTGTAGCTGGATGAAAAATGGGACAAGGTTAAGGTAGCTGGGAAAGTAAATTTTAAACTCCATTTCCTGACAGAAGTAATCCTTGACATTTTAGTTCCCTATCTTGTGTAACAATTTAACCTAACATTAGTTCTTTAAAAGTGCCACTAGATCCATGGTGGCATTTTAACAGGATCACTGCAGAAGGCAGTGACTCCAGCACAAATCCTTTCAGCCACAACAGCCCTTGGAGCAGCCAGGTCTGAGTCAGGTCTGAGTCAGGTTCACCAGTCTGTGAGGACTGGCAGAAATGGTCTGGTCTAAGCTCGGGACCTCAGGGAGTCTGCACATCCAAATCCAACTGGCTGTATGGAAAACTCTATTCCAGCTTTCCAGAACACACTGTACTCACAGAAAAGACTAAACAGGCAAACTCTTCTGTACCTTTTCCACAGCACAAGAATCAGCCACTGATATGTTTAATTCACTCCCAAGTAGCTGAACATAAAAACCACAGGAGGGCACCAGGCACAGAGGGAAAAATCTGTTTCCTTCTCCTCCAAAGCCAGCAGCAGTTCTGATGGATCATCTCTTTGCTATAAGCAAAGCTGAAATTCCTTTGCACATGAATGCACCTCATCAACTTTATCCTCCTTCCAGTAAAGGAAGCAAATTAATAAGGAATGCTGATTACTAATAAGGTCTACATTCAACACCTACATCTAGCCAGGCAGATGCAAATTAGAGGATGTTTCAGATTTTGCCTCTTTAACTGGGAACACATTTTTTCTTATTGTTTCAGACTTTTCTAGTAGATCTCATTAAATGCTGATACTTCACTGATCTGCCTGGAAAACCCCAACTCTTACACAAAGGTGGGTGAGAGGGGTGTGAACCAACCAGGGCAAGCCTGAAATCCCCAGCAAATACAAAGATATACCTTGAATAAAAGTTCTGGCTTGGAGCTGCTGGAACTGGCTCTGTAGGGGAAACTTCCAGCAGCTTTTCACAGAAGCCACCCCTGCAGCCCCCCACTACCAAAACCTTGCCACACAAACCCAATACAGCATCATGTTATTTGGGGCTGCAACAGGCTTTCTTTCCAGTCCTATATTACCCATCAAATCTCGTTTGACTTGTTTGATCTTCCCCAAAACGCAATTCCTAATATATTTAGTGCTTCAGTATATGCCCTGCTGACACACACAGGGAGCAGTATACACCCTAAACCTGGTTTTGGATCCTGCCTAAGCTTTATTTGCACTACCAAATTTGTTGCCATTCATCAGTGTTTATATTGCATTAGTTTTTCTGTTGTTAAGCAGCTTTGTTAAACCATTAATTTTACCTTAAGGATTTGTGTGGTATTATGGCCACAGATTAAGACTTCTGACCTGTATTTTTCATTTACTAACAGCATTCCATGAGTCATATGGATGAAAGGGTCAATACTTGGTTTTTTTTTTTTTAGACTTTAGACTACTTTGAGATTTTTACAGCTGATTTAAAGTGTCCTGGTGGAACTGGATAAATGTCACGTAGAAGTACTTAGAGGCTGTATCTTCCAGGGAGCTGTAATGTTACCACAGTTTGGTTATAAGCCATCCTCTTAAGTACTTAAACATAAAAAAAGTGGTTTTCTTTCTCGCAGTCAAGGTACCTATTGACTACACATGACAACTGCCTGAATATGTTCTGCATTTATGTAATGCTTCAGGTTTAGAGGGGCAAGAGCCAGTTAAACAAGGGATGAACTCACTTGAACAAATTTGTGGGTGCTTTGCAAAGTAGTCAGAGAATTCTTGTGCCATGGATGTACAGACAATTTTAGCTTTAAAACCCTCACTATAAAAGTCCTATTACCAGTCCCTAATGATTGTCAGGGTTCAAAACCCAGTGCTAAACAAGGTGATTCTAAAAGAGTCAATTCATTAATCCCTAATCCATTTTTTAAGCATCACAAGGTTTGTGCATGTGCATCTGCCTCCTGTTTTTGATTCACTGATTGACAAAAATAAGCAGTGCTGAGTACAGCACCAGGAGCATGTTCTTAATCCAGCCAGGACTGGAAGTGTTTCAGCGTGAGCTAGTTGGGATATATTAGACTGATTCTTTTCAAAGATTCTTATGCCATTAACAAAAGGAGGATTGGATGAGAGCCATGGGAGCTGTTTCATAACCTCCTGTGGTCTTGTTTTCCAGCTGACTGTGATGGCCACTCAGGTTCTGCTGCTCAGGTCAGGCATTCTGGACCAGCACAGACAGTTCAGCCTCGGTGGAGTCAGGCTTCAATTACACTTTCTGCTTTACACTTAACCTCTGCAAAGCAAAGCCTCTTACACATTACAGGGGTATTCACAGGGCAAAATTTAAGTCACATAACAGCTCCCCCACTCTTTTTACTTTGATAGAGCTATAATCAGTGTTTGTATTAAAAAACCTATGATTCATCATTATGTATCATACATATCACGGTCAGATTTTTCTTGAAAACATCTTATTTCATTGCACATGCCCAAATTAAACATTCTGTCTCAAACGCACCGCTGGGAGTATTTCAGGCTCACTCAGCTGAGCTGCTGTCCTTTCTCCTCTGTAAAAAGAACCCATTACAGAGATTTCCTCCTCGCTATCAAATGGTTAATACAAAGAAAAAAAAAAATCAAAATTGATTTCCGTAACATGCTTTGGCAGCAACTGAGGTGAGCAACTACATGGGGAAAAGGGAGCCAGGGTTGTTCCCACCTGTGTTAGGAAACCACAGTCTGAGAAGAGCAATACTTCACTGGGAAGCTGAGCCAGGACTGTAACAGTTACCTCAAATCTCCAAACTTGTAAGTACAAATGCAATTAGCAGATTGGCACAAGCAGCAGTTCAGAGGGTTCTGTGCACATACACGTTTGTGTCTTGGCTGGGAGGAGGAACAGGTAAAATTACACTCCTTAAAAAGTAATTCGACCATTAGCTCCACAATGCCTCTTAATGCTCCCTTTGCTCACAGGGAATCATTTGCATTGAGCTCCTCAAATGTAAGACACAAAAAGCCATCACAGCCTCTGCAGCCCACGATGCTTGGTGTTCCAACTCATCCCACTTATGAAAAAGTTTTGTATAACTTTTTTGGTTCTAGTTATGTATGGGTTATTTTAGCTCCAAATGGAGAAAATGT